CTCAGGATGCCATTACACCACTATATCTTTGCATAGCCAACAGTGGTTTGCTGCTATTTTAATGCTCTGAATGTGGCATACAGCACCTTTAAGTTAGAGTTGCGCAGTACTAAAAAATATCCCAGTATGTTTGACTCAGGATGCAACACAGGATTTCCAGTCTTCACATACCTTGAATTGTTTGACCACCACAGAACTTGACAGTGATCCCACCTCTGTCATCAGAGTCGAAGTGGATGTGGCATTTATGGGTTAAAATCAGAGTTAGATGAAAAGGTTAACACCACTCATGTCTGAATAGCCCCCTGCATTAAAGGAATAGACAAAGGGTCTCATCTTTTTCTCCTCTGATTTTCTGTGATAAAAGTTACTGGTTGATACATTATTAAAACATCCTGTTTTAGTCAAGACATCTGCAGGCAAGGGTACATGAAAGGATTTTACGAGACTGTAGAGAGGTCAGGGAGTTTCACACTTTAATATGCAGCTTTTATGCCATCTGGGGGGACATTCACCCAGCACACGACTCCTGTTAAAGGTCCAGTGTGAAGGATTAAGGGGGATATATTGTGGAATATAATATAATAAGTATGTAATCACCAAAAAAGAAGAATTGTTTAGTTTTTGTTACCTTAGAATGAGCCGCTTATATCTACACAAGGAGCGGATCCTCGTCCACGGAGTCCACCATAATGCGCTGCCATGTTTCTACAGTAACATACAGTAAATTTTTAACATAAAATGCTTTATTCAGTGTTTTTACCAGTTTAAATCTCCAAGTCATGTTGTTTTGGAGAGGAAGAGACCTCTGCGGATAATTCGGCTCCCGGTAAAAACCTCCTGAACATTTGCATCTTACGTTATCAGAGAAAAAAGGTGAGCACATGTTAGCAGGTGCTGAACTAGCAGCCTGTCTGCGATAAGCTGAACACAGAGACACACTGTTTTGTTACTTGAAACTGCTTTATTCAGTGTTTTTACTGGTTTCAATCACCTAGTCCATTTGTTTGGAGAGGAAGAGACCTCTGTGGATAATTCAGCTCCCGGTAAAAAACTTTCTGAACAATGAAAACTGAAGGAATCCTTACCAGGAGGTCAAGCTTGGCACATGGGAGAAGTTTCAGCTGGTTGCAATCTATGATCCTTACCACTAAATCCCACACACTGTTCCTTTAAGTTGCATAATGTCAATATGTAGCTATGAAAGAAAAGAAAAAAACAATCACTGTTTTTATGCGTGTAAGAAACATGAAGATTTGCACGATACCTGTCAAGATTAAGTTTGACTCCCAAGGCTTGAAACTCTTAATACACAGTATTGGATTAAGTGTGACTGCAAGGATTTCAATTATCCCCTTTCTGGTGGATAGTATGTCATCTTGTAACAAAACTCTTCAAACAGTGAAGAAACTCATTACTGCTAATGTGTCTCCTTGGCAGACAGTTTAGCTCACAGGCAAGCACTTGATTGATGACAGGCTGCATGTCAAAACCCACCTCCAACTAAAACATGCATACAGTCACTTTTCACATTGCTTACAGTAACAGGATTTAAAAACAGCCCAGGGGTATATCCGATGTGAGCTGTTTTATATGCTGCTGTCTTTAAACGTTCTCATCAAAACTGCATAAAATTAGTCACAGGAGGCAAAGCTGGCTCAATTTTAATACAGATCGAATGCTGCCCCTCAGCACCGTAATTAAACCAGAGTTTTATGCTTCATTATTTTTTATATTGCTTCTCAAATGCCTCTCTTGCTGGTGCACAGCTCCTTTTTTTAACGTGAGAGTGGATCATGTGAACCAACACCATGGACTTAGTCCCAGATTAGGAGACTGATATACTCATGAACATCATTAGCCTCTCCATCATGTGGTGCAGGTGCTGCTTTCTCTCAGATAAGGAGCTCAATATGACGCGGACATGGCTGAGGGTCATTAGGTGGACACTTTGGAAATTAAACATTCAAACTTCTACAAATAAGTTTTCAAACTATCTTTTTACATGAGCACACTTGAGAGGAGCAGCAGTGCCTCTGCTATGAGACTATCATTGTCTGTTGTCTCCATCTAGTGGTGATTAGTAGACAGTTCAATATCCGAAAATGAGTGAAGATGAAAAGTGTCCCAATTCTATAATAAACATTCATTTAACAGTGTGCAGGTTAAATCCACTTTTATGAGAGTGCTGATGGAAGGATACCATTGTCCCACAATGCAATGCACAGTAAGAAAAGTAAAAACTAATTCTAAAAAACTGTAAACTAAAAAAAAATAATGTAGTTGTGATAAAAATGTAAAATGAATAAATAAATGGTAGCAAAACACTCAGAAAGCTACCAGAAAGCAAAAAATACAGCATTAAAGGTTCAGTGTGTTGGATTTAGGGGCAGAAAGGGAATTTAATATAATAAGTGTATTTTCTTCAGTGTAACATGACAACAAGACCGGTTGTGTTTTCGTTACCTTAGAATGTGCCGGTTATATCTGCATAGGGAGCAGGTCCTCGTTTATGAAGATTGCCACGTTGCACTGCCATGTTTCTCCAGCATTCCAGGACAGAAACAAAACACTGGCTCTACTTACGGCCATTTGTATTTTCGCGTCGGCCACTGTAGTTAGAAGCTCATCTGCAATGAGCTACATCAGTTAAAGACTGATTTATAAAATGAAAGACACTTATTCGTAGGATATCATATGAACTGCTGTATGAGGATATGTTGTTCTACAGTAGCCCAAAAGAAGACAAACCAAACACTGACTCTAGATTGGGCCATTTGCGTTTTTGCGTCAGCCACTGTAGTTAGTAGACCCTTTGCGATAAGCCAAACAGCATTGGAAAAACACAGATTTTTAACTTGAAACTACTTTATTCAGTGTTTTTACCAGTTTAAATCACTGAGCCTGTTTGTTTTGGAGAGGAAGAGACCTCTGCGGATAATTCAGCTTCAGGTAAAACTCTCCTGAATGTCTGAATCTTAAGTTATCAGAGATAAAAGGTGAGCAGACATTAGCATGGGGTTGACAAGCAGCCTGTCTGCAACATGCCAAACAGTGTTGGAAAAACACTGATTTGTAACACAAAGCTTTATTCAGGGTTTTTACTGTTCAAATCACTGTGTCCGTTTGTTTTGGAGAGGAGGATACCTCTGTGGATAGCTCGGCTCCTGGTAAAAACCTCCTGAACAATGAAAACAGAAGGAATCCTAACCGGGAGAAGTTTCATCTGGCTGCAATCTGCAAACCTCACCACTAGATGCCATTAAATCCCTTAAATCTTACCCACTTCATCTTTAAATGATTTTTTAAAGTTTTTTTTGTGTGTGGAAATCGCATGTACTGTATTTTTTAACACTAAACCTGATCCCTCTCTTACAGAGGAATGTAGGATAGTAACTGTAATTACTTATTTAGCAAAAATATATATCTATATTTTGTTAACTTGGAAGATATTAAAGATAAATCTTGACTAATTGACACAAAATTTTCAGTGGAAAAAAAATTAAAGGAGCTGTATGCAATGCTTAGAGCATATCTGTGATTCAGAGTGTAAGTTGGTGTTCTAACACATAGAGCTACCTGCACAGAATGACCTACCAGTAGCAATCTATCTATCAGAATGGACTACTACCTCCATGAATGTAGTTAAAAGTAAAGTAGCTCATTTTGGTAGGCAGGAAAAATCTATCAGAATGTGTAACTACATCTATAAATATAATTAAAAGAATGGGCATGTCTTCCGGATTTCTTTTATTTATTTATTTTTTGCCTCTTGAATGAACTTGGAATTTGCAAATCATGTTAGTAGGCCATTTTATGTGATGGCTCCATTAGTCAAAACACTGGAGTTATGTCTCAAATCACATACTTCTGTTAGTATACTTCTATGTAGTATACTACAGTATGTGCACTATGTACTCATTGGCGTAGTGCGCAAATTTCGACAGGGTAGTGTTGTCTCAAACCAAACACGGCAGTTGTGCACTTACTGGAAATGACGACCGCAAATTAGCTAGTTAGCAAACTAGCATTAGCATTCGCGTTATCGTTCGCATTACCAAATCATTACAGACTGCTAAATTAACCCAACAAACATACTGCTGGCTTATACCCAACAACAGTATAGTGGTGCTTAGTGCAAAAAACACGTGAATTGTACAATGCAGTGACGTTCATCGGCCACTATTTCCAGTTTGAAAAGTGGTCCCTCCCCTTCCACTACGTAGCCAAGATGGTGACCATTGAGGGCGAGAAGTGTCCATAGTTCCACACTCAACTTCTTGACCGTTTTGAGTGCAACATCCAGGTACTCATAGTGCACTGCATTTTTCCATATTTCTCGGTGTGAACACACTTCTGCACTCAAAATTATAAGTGTAAGTATAGAAGTATGCGATTTTGAGACACAGCATGGGATTGCCTGCTCTCAGTCCAACATGGAGGTGGCTGAGACGGTGGCTAGTAACGGCACAGGTCAGGATGGTGTTATCGGGAACCACCGCCAAATGACCGCAGCGCAGAACAGTGAAGATTAGCTAGCTGGTGGGATACTCAAACAGGGACTCACATGCATGCGTGGCCGGACTGGCTGCCACAACAAACTACAGAGAAGCTCAGATTTCAACACACACTGAGATGGTGTGGCTTCGTTCTCTGCTCAGGATGCCGTTACTCCTCTTTATCTTTACATAGCAAATAGCTGTTTGCTGCTGTATTAACGCTCTGAATGTTTCATACAAGAGCTTTAAGTTAGAGTTGTCCCATACCTTGGATGTAAAATCACATTTACAGTCTTCAGAAACCTTGATTTTCAAAAATTTGTTTGCTGCTGTAGTATTGCTCTGAAAATCAGCTTCTTTAACTACGGCTATTTTTTCATATTTGTAAAACTTAAAGTTATGAGAAATGGCAGATTTATCCAAATGTGGCAGGGGTGCATGTAACAAGTGAGTGTTTTTAAAATCAAAGTGCAGAGAGTTCAAAAAACAAAGAAAAGTACAGTTGTTTCTAAAATTTTTATTCGTGGCACAAAACACAAATACGGTTTACAGGGTTTTACATTTAGATTTGTTCGTTTTATCAATTGCACATTATGCTTATTTTTCTATTTATAAACACAACCTTATGCTCATTACTTCAACAACAAACCAAAAGGCAACTAATAACGTATCACAATGATGAGTTACAAAAACTAAAAACAAGAAAAATCCTTCTGTTCAGCAAAGTATGTAGAAATACAACAGAGCAATGTCCCCTGACCTCTAGGGGTCACACTTCATGATCTCTCTGAGGCAGATGGTGGCGTAGCAGGAGGAGTCCAGGTCAAAGTTTAACGTGAGAGTAAGCGAGTCCTGCTTCCCCTCTACTGTCGTGCCGTTCAGCTCAAGGTCACTGTTTCTACTGCTGTTTCCTGTCACCTCTCCTCCTCCTCCTCCTCCCTCCCCGCAGGCTGCTCTCTGCAGCTGGTAGCTGAGGTTGCGTGGTGAGGCCAACAGGGGGCGGTAGCAGCCAGGCAGATTTAGTTTGAGGCTGCTGACTCTGAAGCGACAGTCGCCCAGTCCGTCTCTGGCGAGTCTCTCCTGGAACCAAGTCCCCATGGTGTTTTCTGGATACTTCACAGTGTTCCCAGGCATCGGCAGTAACACCTGACAGGAGAATGAAAACACAGCAGCAACAGTTGTGAGAACAGCAGAGAGAGAAGCTTTTAAAGTCAAAGTATGTCAGTAAACAACATACATGTCCCAGTGTGTACACGCCATCTTGCTCCTCTTGGTCCGTCACCACATGGATCTGGAAAATCAAAGGAAATGTCAGGAGCACTGGCATGGTGTGCAAAATGTTTAGAGAGTCCTGCAATCAGGAGGTCGCAAGTACAATCCCTAAAAAAAGACTGTGTCCTTAAATATCCCTGTTTACTGCTGAAATTTCCTTGAGCTATTCTATTGGGGGACAAGATGATTATGAAACCTATTAAGTCCCCAGGCCCAGGGAGAGGAGAAGGGCTTTTTCCCCTATTGGTCAAGACGATTCATGAGTCTTCGGACAATTACCCCCCAAGGCTTTTTATTTTTGGACTTGGTACAGAGTTTGAACTTCGCTCAAGAGTGTGAAATACCAAACTGGACCTTTGGAAAACATTAAAGTTGTAAGTACTAATTCCCTCGGCTGATTTATACGCAGACACCTTAGATGTTTACCTTTGTATCGGATATACGCTCACCAGCCACTTAATAAGGTACACCTTGTTAGTACCAGTTTGGACCCCCTTTGCCTTCAGAGCTGCCTTAATTATTGGTGGCATAGATTCAACAAGGTGCTGGAAACATTCCTCACAGATTTTGGTCCATATTGACATGATAGCATCACACAGTTGCTGCAGATTTATCAGCTGCACATCCATGATGAAAATCTCCAGTTCCACCACATCCCAAAAGTGCTCTATTGGACTGAGATCTGGTGACTGTGGAGGCCATTGGAGTACAGTGAACTCATTGTCATGTTCAAGAAACCAGTTTGAGATGATCTGAGCTTTGTGACATGGTGCGTTATCCTGCTGGAAGTAGCCCTCAGAAGATGAGTACACTGTGGTCATAAAGGGATGGACACGGTCAGCAACAATACTCCGGTAGGCTGTGGTGTTTAAACCATGCTCAGTTGGTACTAAGAAAATCTCCCCCACATCATTACACCACCACCACCAGCCTGAACCGTTGATACAAGGCAGGATGGATCCATGCTTTCATGTTGTTTACACCACATTCTGACCCTACCATCTGAATGTGGCAGCAGAAATCCAGACTCATCAGACCAGGCAACGTTTTTCCAATCTTCTATTGTCCAGTTTTGGTGAGCCTGTGTGAACTGTAGCCTCAGTTTCCTGTTGTTAGCTGACAGGAGTGGCACCTGGTGTGGTCTTCTGCTGCTGTAGCCCATCTGCTTCAAGGTTGGACATGTTGTTGGTTCAGAGATGGTCTTCTGCAGACCTTGGTTGTAACCAGTGGTTATTTGAGTCACTGTTGCCTTTCTATCATCTTGAACCAGTCTGGCCATTCTCCTCTGACCTCTGGCATCAACGAGGCATTTTCACCCAGAGAACTGCTGCTCACTGGATGTTTTCTCTTTTTCAGACCATCCTCTGTAAACCCTAGAGATGGTTGTGCGTGAGAATCCCAGTAGATCAGCAGTGTCTGAAATACTCAGACCAGCCCGTCTGGCACCAACAACCATGCCACATTCAAAGTCACTTAAATCACCTTTCTTCCCCATTCTGATGCACGGTTTGAACTTCAGCAGGTCGTCTTCACCATGTCTACATGCCTAAATGCATTGAGTTGCTGCCACATGATTGGCTGATTAGCTGTTAGTGTTAATGAACAGTTGAACAGGTGTACCTAATAAAGTGGCCAGTAAGTGTATTTCTCTGTGTTCAGCCTGTAGTTAAGGTTAACCCCAAGCTCTCACAACATGTCACTGTTATGTGTTAGATTCTGGGTTTACCAGTATGGAAGTGGAGTACGGCCATGCTTGCAGTTTTTTTTTACGCTGTTATCTCGGAATTATATTATCTCTAGAAAACAAAGTTTGATTTCACATGATAATGGGCTAATTTACGTTGATTCTTGAGGAAAAAAAGCCAGTTTCTCAAGATAATGATAATTCATCAAAAAAAAAATTTGTTTTATCTTCTCAAACTCACAGGATAATAATGGAGAACTCAAAAATGAGTGTTTGGTTCATTTGATCACACCAGATTTCAGCCTTTAAGACCACTGTCATGACTGTTGGGGAGAAGCTGTCAAGGCATAAATGCTTAGTTTTGCTTGCTGTAGTTATCTGTTGTTGCTGATCTGTTCTGCACTATCCCAAAAACAGATCACACTCTTACCTGAGGCAAGCTGGTTTCTCCAGCGTCTTCCTGCGCCCACACAAGGTCTCCTCGCCTGGCCCTGTGGCCCAGAGTCGTCAGCCTGTGTGCCACCGCTTCGTTCCACACTCTGACAAACATATCGGCACAATCATTACTATCAAACAGTATGTTAAATTTATCCAGAGAGTTAGAAGAGTCTTTGAAGATTCTGGAAATGTCTTCAGAACTACGGTAGTGTTTAAAACTTAAAATCAGATGCTAACTTTTTGACTTAGATGTAATAATGAAAGTACATACACATGCACAAACGGCAAGGCAAGCTTAAATCCTGAAACAGGATGAGACAATCTAGCTGTGGAATCTCATTTTGAAAGAGTGTTCTGGGATATTTTCCCTGTGGCTGACCTGCTGCAGTAGGCGTGTGGGTAGAAGACCCTCATGCTGTGGGGCAGGCTGAACCAGGCTTGGGCACAACCATCCGGACCTGTGCCGTAGCGGTTCAGGGCCCGAAGCATCAGTCGCTCTCTGGCCTTCGACAGCGGCATCAGCGCCAAAGACTCCTTGGCGTTATCTGGTTATGGGAGAGGCAGGAAAGACGAGAGCGATAAAGAGAGCGAAACACTTCCGGCGTGTTAAATTCCAGGATGCTAAAGATGGATTCACGATATCACAACTCTTAAGTTTGCAGTCGTTGTTTTCGATAAAAACATGATGCGTCTCAGCAGATTCTTTGAATGAGGAACTGTGTGGTTACTGTAATATTACAGCAACAGCAAAAAGGAACCCACAGAAACTCACACTTCCTGCAAATTCTGTATTAATAAGTTCTTGGGAAACAACTTTCACATCATTTTTGCTCATATTTTGTCAAAATGAAAGTGGTCAGTGTTGTCTTGGCTCTCACCTGTTTGGAGGAAGTGTCTCTTGGCGTGGCTCTGAGGGTCATTGCTGTCCTCCGGAGTAAAAAAGAGACGCACAGCACTCACCTGACACACACACAGCAACACACACCCCAACATACGTTAGCAACACCGTACTGTGCAGTCTGATAGGAAATGCATGTGATTTATTTTACACAGATGACACTCTTCTTTCCTCTGGAGGCGTTTCAGGCTTCATGCAGTCGATAACACCGCTTATGAAGGGTTAAAACAACTGGTCATGAACATATTAATTGTTTGTGACACTTACCATGTCCTCTTTGAGTAACGCCAGCCCCACACGGTCAGACTGAACGCTCTGCACACTCCCAAACCTCTGTGGTCCGTAGTAGTTGACAAAACCTCTGGCCTACAGAGAGCAACAAACAGGTGGCTGTATCGGAGCTAGCTTGAAAAATCCCTAGCATGTTTAAAGTACTCCTGAACAACAAGAGTGACACGGAAACAACAAGCATCCACCATTCAACATTTCTTTCATTTATAATCAAGAGATCCAACCAGGGTTGCAAAGGTGTGAGATTTTCACTGTACGATACATTATTATCAGTCAGAATGACCCTGAAAGGAATGAAAACAGAAAGGTTACTTTTGGTTGAATAAACTTTTTTTTATCACTATAACTGAAAATTGAAATTATTTTGTTAATGAAAACGTGTAAAAAGTCTCCCCTTTAAGATTAAAATAAAGAAGAGATTCTTCGTCCACTTGCAAATGTATGATGTAAGATATGAAGCAATCCCTCTGTTAGAGGCTCTGTTTTAAAGCCAGAGTGGAAATAAAAAGCCTCGAGCAATAAAATGATTCTACAGACCTAAAAAACGTACACTCTTTATGTGTCACTCAGGGCTGTTGTCCATGTCCAGATTCATCAGTGTGCGGGATGTTGACAGATTGTGATACGATCTTCTGAAGTTAACCTGTCCTGTAGAAGGTTAGCTGTATAGCTGCATATGTTACTCTGGGTGTCTACAGATATAACCAAGTTAAATCTAAGACCTTTTACGATCTTTTTAATAACAACTCATATGAAATTTAAGACCAAACCTACAATGAAAACACAGGCTGAAGAAATATTCACGGCAATGTGACCGAAAATATCTAAGACCCATCAAATCTGAATTTAAGACAATTTAAGACTGTTAAGGCCTTACATTAAGAAAACTTAAGACTTTTTCAGGACCTGCAGACACCCTGTTTACTACGATGATTTATCCCCATAAAAAATTAAGCAGCTTTGTAGTCCTGAAAACACAAAGTTCATCCTGACGCTCCCTTGCTAACCCCTAATCCTGCTTCGTAGTAAAAGCCTCAGGAGCCACATTCACCGCAGAGGCCTCCTCCTCCTTCAAACAGACATGATTATTAAAACAGGTAAACACCGAATAAAGCACTTTTACATTAAAAGTCAGTGTTTCTCTGACGCTCTTTGGCAGTCAGACAGGAGGAGCTGCTGCTAATGCTAGCTCAGCTTGTTTTGAGGTGCTGTTTGTTTATAGGTGAGAATTCCTTAAGTGTTCATTGTTGGCAAGGTTTTTACTGGGAGCCAGATGACCTGCAGAGGTCTTTTCCTCGCATCAACAAACATGCTCGTTGATTAAAACCCTTAATCCGGTTAAAAGGTACAGTTTAGAAATGACCAAGATCTGTGACGTGACTTGAAACTGTGAGAAAGTAGTCGGCTGGAAATGTTTTAATATTCAGCTATCCGAACATTTACCATTGCACTGGCAGAAATGGGCTTCTATACTTGTGTGTATCCAGACTGACATTTCAGTACAAGAGTTTGAAGCTGGAAATAATACCTTGACATTCTCCACTGCTTCCTTTACCAGCGCTGCCAGACGAGAGTGTGTGTCTGCGCCAGAGGAGTGTGCGTCACTGGCCCCATGTGGTCTCAAGTCACGGACCACCAGGTCAAAGTGGTTCCCCTGCAGTCGTCCGAGCCGGAGAGGCTCGCTGACGGAGCGGATCTGAGACAGATGCATCCCTCTCTTCACAAACTCAGACGTTTTCTCTTTCAACCTGGTGATAAATAACGTCAAATAAATAAATAAATAAACGGTTGATTCTTGGAATTCAATTCAAGCTTCAAAGGGGAATCAAAATCCATGAAATAAATGCAGAACCACCGTTGAGTTGAGACCTTCTTGACCACCATGGACTGGTAAGTGATGGCTCTCTTATCCTTGATCCCAGCGTAGGTAAAATCTGACGGAAGGACCCCGAGAGCTGCGGCCATGTAGCTGATGGCCTCCAGAGTCTCCAGGTTCTCCTTACGCAGAGTGAAAGCTGACAGAGAAGACAAGCACACATGCAGCTGTGTTTCTGTTTGGTTTTAAAGGAGCAGTGTGTGAGATTTAGGGGGATTTAGTGGCCTCTAGTGGGGAGGATTGCAGATTGCAACCAGCTGAAACGTCTCCCGGTTAGAATTTCTTTAGTGTTTACTGTTCAGGAGGTTTTTCATGTGAGATGAATTATCCGCAGAGGAACAAAACAAACAGACCAGGTGATTAAAACTGGTAAAACACCGAAAGGACTAGTTGACGTCATTTTATTAACAATCCTACCAGAACTTCAGCTTCTTAAATGTGAACATTATGCTGGTTTAGTGTTAGTTTAGGATTACATGATAATACTTTAGGTTCTAAACTACTGGTTGGATAAACAGGCAATTTCAAGTTATCAGTTGAGAAAATAATCAGTCATTTAAGAGTTTTAATTCTGCACTTTACCAGTGTAAACGTCTTCTTCTTTACGTTCCTCTGTGGTTCTCTTCTTTGGCCTCCCTTGCTCTCTCAGCCTAACCGAGATTGCAGTCGTCCCCTGGTCGGTGAAGCTTTTAGTCTCAACCAGTTTGCCGAACCTCCTGCTCAGGAAGTGGTGGACCGCCGTCCTGTGCTCCTTATTGTCATCAGGTCCAAATGTATAGGACGAGCCTCGCACTTTGGCATCTATGAACCTGAAGAAGTCCTCTGCTTCATCCTCTGTAACCAGCCGGGAGAGCTCTCTGTAGTCTGGGTCCTCCCTCACCCTGATCTCAGGCTGAATCGTGACAGTCATGAGGAAGGGGAAGCGGTGTCTGACGGCCCGGTGGACATTGGCTCTGTGGTGTTTGTCGGCGAAGGATCCCAGAGATAGCTCCTGCTTGGTCGGCTCTTCTTTGAGAGTCAACACGAACTGCTCGAGCTCGTCACTGACCGACTGGCCTAAAATCACACTTAAATCAAAACTGCCCGGGCTAGGTATGGTGACATCTAACCCGCAGTCAGCTGAAACATCAGTGTCCTGTGAGACTGAGGAGTGATTGTCCCACTTACAGTCTGCACTGCTTTCATAGTTCCTATCTGGGGAGGCACAGTCTGGTGCATGTGTGGCTGCTGCTGTGTTCACACGCTGTCCGCTGATGTCTATCTCAGTCACCACAAAGTCTTTGATGAAGTTTTTGATGCTTCCAAGGAAACCTTCGTGGTTTGATATGAAGCAGGCGGGGATGTTCACAGCATCACTGTCCTGCTTCATGGTCACTTCATCCAAACACTGCAGGGTTTTCACTTTGTCCTGTACCTGAAGGGGACAGAAATGAAATGTTAACAATATGTGTAAGCTGATAATTAAGACAAAAAAAAAAAAAAAAAATGCGTGTTTATTTGTACAGCTTAATTCACACACTTGAGGTAAGTCATTTATGTGTACTTAGAATTATACTTTATGAGTTAATCTGACAGAGAATGTAAAATAAAACCGTTCATTAGACGGCAGCAGAGAATAATGAGGTTATAAGCCTGCTCTAAAAGGCAATCAGATTTAAGGCACATCTTAAAATGTAATGTCAGGAAGCTTAGCAAGATGACAGGGGCTTTATTTCTCCTTAAACACGTGTTATACATGTCAAATAGCCCGTCTAATTACAGTAATATCCGTATCTTACACATTAATGCTGCCTCGACTGAGCTCAGAGAGACCTGCACGCGCTATAACAGAAACTATAAAGCACATACCTGCATCTGAAACAAGAATATATATTTATTGAAAAGAAATGATCATATTTCACCTGTTTATTCACTCACCGAACCTGCACGCGGTATGCAAAACAGGAGCTGTTGATGTAAACACAACAACGCTGAGACAATTCAGTCGACTTCCGGGTCATGTGACCGCCATGTGACTTTTCTTAAAGGGGCCGTGCAGCACTCGCATCGTTAACAAACGCTGTGTTACACTTAAAAATGTCAAAACAACACAACTGCAGGTAGGAACTAAAGTTACCCTGAGACACAGGGGCATGAATGAGTAAATTAAATGTTAAACATTTACTGTAAGCGCTAATGCAATCATTATATTATTAAATTATTATTATTATTATAAATTAAATTCTAATACCTATAAGAACCTAACGAACTTTGCAGCAGTCAAAAATATTTAAATTGAATTACACCGACTAAAACTTATAATGTACCAAAATATTATAAACTGTTGCTTCGTTACGCAACATAAATTAATATGTTAATAATAATATTAATAATAATAATACACACAAGCATACAAACATAGACTTTATGTCACTTCTGTCAATATTTTTAGACCTTTTAAATACATTTATAAACAATGAATTCTTATGATTACATGAACCGTGAAATAACAAATGTATATTAATAGTAATAATGACAACAATAACAATAATAATCTTAACACATACATACATAGTCTTTATGTTGCTTTAGTCAATATTTTATGCAGTTTAAAGATGATTTTAAAAAAATTAATTCTTACAGTTGCTTTAAATGTAGAAAATTGATTAATAAATAACACACACATACTTATATACATACATACATACATACATACATACATACATACATAGGCTTTATGTTGGTTCAGTCAGTATTTTTTATGGATTTTAAAGACATTTTTAAACAAAAAATAACATAAAAATATTTATTATTATTATTATTATTATTATTATTATTATTATTATTATTATGAACAGAAACAAATATAACAATATCACATGGGGAAAACTCATAAACATGTTTATTTATGTATGCGCATTTATATCAACAGAGGAACCAGATGAATTGGGTGTAAAATTGGGATAAAAAGATTTAATGCTGAGGTTCACAGTTAATTGTTGATCTTGAAAACAATGATTACAATATGATCTTGGAGTGCTCAGAAAAAAAATAACTTCGAACATTTACAATTCTATGACAAACGAAACTCAGTCTGCTGATGAAGACCATGTTATGTGAGGTAACTGAAAGCTCTGGATCAGCTTCTAAATGGACCTAGTAGAGAGGCTGTTACAACAACATTACATTACATCAGTGCTTTCCTCCGTGTGCTGTAGTCTTTCAGTAGTATCTTGTTTTATTATTGTTTTCATACACTGAATGAATAGCACAGGCATTGTGTTACTCTGAGGGAGTTTCATCACACAGTGGGTGCATGGTTTACTGGCACCCCTCACCCCCTTCCACCACCACTCATTTCCTGGAAATCACTGTAACAGTTAGTGGAAATCATTTAAGTTGTACTTTGGAAATCTCATCAAACATTGATAAATATCTTGTGTTGGCTGCATGTGAGAACAATGAAACTACAGAACATGAAGCCAGGAAACACATACACTCCCCACACTCCTGAATCAACAAAACATCTCCTCCACACTGGCTGGCATTTTGTTTAACCAGTCTGTCTTTCTTTTGGGGAGTGCCAGGTGCAGGGAGTAAAAGAGAAACTTCACTCATGAAGAAAAAAAAATGCCTGTTTCCTCATCTTTGTTCTGATGTTATGACACAGATTAAACTCTGAATCTCGTACGTAAATATCCAACTCGGTAACATTTGCCTGCTGTAAGTGAGACTTTGGTGATTTCTGGTGTTTTGAGCAACACATGAGGAATGTACTGCAGCTTTCTCCAAGAAAAACACACACACTAATCATCATCAGATTAGACTACGCCACTGCTCAGCTCTCAGGACTACGTAAGAAGGCAGTAGGTCATCTGCAACATGTCCAAAAAAACTACAGCTAGTGTCGTGACTGGAAGGAAATGGAGTGAGAGCTTATTTCTCCAGAGTGAGGGTCCCTTTCCTGACTAGGCTTTATTTCAAGATCGTAGTTCCAGATTAGTGACATAACTTACCTTGGACCCATTGACTCCAAACTGCACCATGATCATATTTATAGTGATATGTTTCTAATACTTGTGCTGCTTTGGACCAAGGTCAAGAGAGGGTCTTCTCAGGAGTGGAGGAAGAGTTTACATCTGCTGAGGATTTTAAGGGAAAAGTTAAAAGCAGATGAAACTTGCTTCACAAACTGTTGTTTTGTTGGTGGTACAATAAGTGTACTCCTGAATAAGGATTCATTTGTCTGTTGAAGAACATCCGAGTAAACGCACAGCCAGAGCATCAGCAGTGCTAATACCTCCCACAGGAACCAAAGAATTCAAAAACAATAGGAGCTGGTTACAAAAAAATGTTGCTCCAAATATGCAGTGTGAAACTTTCCACCTACCAGCCCCTCTATAGCTCCGCAGGGTAAAGTCTTTCTTTTAATCAAATGCTTTCATTTTTCTATGTTGCACGTATTGTTAACGGGGCACTCAAGGGATTTAGTGCTGCATTTCTTTTACAGAAGACATCATTTAGCTGTTTTCATAAACTTTGCATGTAAAAATCAGTGGAGTGACAATTTAGGCTCTGAATAATGCAGCCCATTCTCATTCCCAGGGAGTCAAATTCAGCAACTTGGTCAGTGGCCATTGGTGTCTGATTCTAACGTGCAAGGCCCTACAATGTAAACCCATCCGAGGCAACAACTTAGCATAAAGAGTGAGTAAATCAGCCTAAGTGTGTCAAATAAACACAGGACTTTCACCCACGAGTCCGGTGTTTGTAACCCGTGTGAAACATTGTTTTGTTTTTTAACTACACTATATCATTAACCTCATGTGACACATACATGAAGTGACATAAATCACATGACCTAATTGTTAACTTAATTAAGTTATGTAACAAACATACTTATTCTTACCAAACCATAATCCTCTGAAGTTTGTTTTGAAAAGACCAACCTGGTTTCGCTCTTAGGTCGTCAAAACCCGACGCTTGGGCACTGACTGCGGCGCCAGTCACTGATGAAAAAAGCCGTCCTTTAACGTTGGCATGATATGCGACCAGAAAAAAAAAGTGGCATTTCACTTTCTTGTATTGACGTAGTGTATTTATTTTGAAGGAGACTGTATGTAAACAATAAACTTCCTGTAAAAAGGGAAGTGTATTTTGAAAGAAGACGATGCATGTAACAGGCAGAACTTGACACGGCGTCCCAGAATGTCAACAACCAACGCCTCATTCATTCCTATGAAAGTTGCTCAGTGGAGCATGAAGCCACCTGCAGAAGAACAAGAAGAAGATAGACACATGCACAAAAAGGACCTATACATGCATTAAATGGAGGGATTTCAAAGCAAGGGGGCTGTCTTGTACAGGCACCCAGAGCAGTTGGGGTTTCAGTGCCTTGCCAAAGGGCACCTTGGCAGTGCCCAGGAGGCAAACCTGCACCTCTCCAGCTACCAATCCACACTCCATACTTGGTCTGTACAAGGACTTGAGCTGGCGCCCCTCCGGTTCCCAAGCCAACTCCCTATGGACTGAGCTACTGCTGCCCCAAATTACCCGCAAAATTAACCGGATGATCGGCAATGCTTTCTCACTCTGTGGCCCATGAAGCAGGCCAAGCAGCTAACTTCCTGTTAAATTATCTGAGGATATATTGATTAATTTTGTGGCTCTTCTAGACTTTTCCAAATGTTGCCAGACCGAATGGATCAAGTCTTGGTAGTGAAACAAACCCTTTTGCAGTGGTTGTGACAAAGTCTATGGGAAAAAGTCTTTCTGGGCCCAATAGCATTACATGACCATGTCATTTTGCTGTTTGGCCACTACCAATATTGGCTTCAAAGCCCGTTGCACTTCCTGGGAGCGCCTAGAGCATCATATTTTGAAGCACAGGGCTCCTGATCAAGTTGCTGTAATTGACAAGGTTGGGGGCGAGAACATGTTGAATGAGGACGCTGTTGTAAGGTAGATGGACTAATAACTATTTGTCCCCGCCTGTGTGGAGATTACTGACTCTGTCATGAGTGATTATGTGTTGCTCTTGATGCTCATGTGGTGTCCAGCATCAAACGGTTCACATTTGACACAATAGGGACATGAAAAGTTTGTTCGTGGGAACTTGAGGTAGGTCTTTACAGAAGGATTTATGAAGGATCATCCGCAGTGTAGGCCAACATTCTCTCACAACGCTGTACATTCATCTGTACCATCCTTCACTCTTATATTTCTTTAAATATTCCCACATATTCTCAAAATGTTGCTCCACGAGAATCCAACTGTGCAACATTTATCTCAAGAGTACAAAATTTGTCCAAGCGTCTCAAAGTAAAATAAAACCTTGTTGGCCCTTGGCGTTTGTCCGCCCACCACCAACATCCTCTGCGCCACAGAATGTCTCTGTGCATTCATGTCCTACAGATGTGTGACTGCGTGCCAACATACACACGTGTGTGTGTGCCAGCGATTTTGTGGATGCGCGGTGGTGAAGTTGACTGAAACAGGGACACTAAAAAAACCTTTACATGTGTGTGCATATGGTTTCCTGCATTTGTGCGTGTGTGTGTGTGTTCATCATGCTCTCCAGATGTTCCTGTGCTCCGTCAGGAAATGCTCCGCTCTGGATCTGTTTTAACAATTGAAATTTTTCTGGCAGGACTCCAGAGACCAATAATGTTGCAGTAATGTGTCTCTGTGTGTCTGAGTCTGTGTGCGTGGGTAAGTGAAATGCAGATAGATAGATGGATAGATAGATAGATGGATGGTGTGAGCGTGTTTGTATGTGTGTGGGGGTCTCTGATGGGAGGTCATGTGATGCAGCCTCTATAGCTCCTTTGTTCGTCCAAGACAACAGCAGACAAAAACTGCTTTATGAGGGACTGAGCTGAAGGCAAGTTCACTCACAGAAATACACACACACACACACACACACACACACACACACACACACACACGGGTGTAGGTTTTGTTTCAACATTGTAGAGGACACATATGTAACAGGGGGTTTGGAGGGTCCTCCAC